CGTACCTGCACGCGGAAGCGCCACATGGTGCCCACGGGCACGCCGGGGATCGGGCCGTAGTGGTTGGGCGGGACGATGGTGCACTCCTTGGTGCGGCCCACGCACGCCATGCCCTGCAGAACGGAAGGGCGCGAGGGGCACTGTGAGCGGGGCGGGGGGCGGCAGCGGGGGGCCGCAGGCGCCCCTCGGCTCACCTTGCCCCAATCCCGCTGGCAGGAGGAGGTCGCCGACGCCATCTTCGCCTTCTTCTTGCTCGTTTTCAGCCTCTCTCCGGCCGACACTACCTCGCTGGTGTCAACGCGACACTCCGGGCAATACCTGAAAGCACACACGGTGTCCCGGGTGCACGGAGCCCCAACCCTGTCCACGCAGGCTCCGGGGGCGCGCCCCAGGCCCTTGGGGCCTGTCCGGTGAGTGTGCGCCGGCGGGGAAATGAACCCCCCACCCCCGGCGCCTCTGCCCTCCAGTCATTTCCTCCTAGCGACCCCAGAGCGGGTCTCGGGCTTAGTCTGGACCTTGAACTGTGAATGTCATGGTCAGCAACTCTCCCCTCTACGATTGCTAGGAATCAGCGTTGATTTGAAGGCAGTGAGAAGCCCTATGGGAGTAGTCAGCCTCATCTTGGTCCTGTAGAAGCCCTGGCCAGCCAGCTGTTGTTGACCTTCAGAACCAGTCCACCTCCAGGGCCCTTTCCGGGTGATCAAAACAAAGCCAAACCACACCCCAGCTCACAGCCACCCAGTCCCTTCAGACTGGTAGCAGCCGTATAGGATGGAGCAGAACTGCCCCTTCAAAAAAGGTTTCGGAGGTGGAAAACCCTCTAAGGAAGCCGTCAGCCTCAAATCTCACAGCAGCACAGGCGACGGTGGGTTTGAACTGCTGACCTTTTAGTTAACAACCCAAATCGCAACCCACTGAGCCCTCGGGGCTCCCGGTGAATTGTAAATTGATTAAAATCCGGCAAGCCGATCACACCTCCTTACTTGGCACTGGCCCCATTTGAATAGCTCAACTGCCACTTCTCAGTAGCCTTTCTAGAACATGAGCTCGTCCACTAGAGGACAGAATTCTGCCCGCTCAGAGTTCTTGGTGCCCCCTGGCAGGGAAGGTAACTCTAAGCCCGCCTCAATCCAAAAAACGAACTCACTCCCATGGAGCCCATGCTGACTTTGCAGCGACCCCTGTGGGTTTGCGGACTGCAGCTGTTTACGGGAGTAGAAAGCGCAGTCTGTCCTGTGGAGCTGCTGGTGGTTTCAAACTGCCGACCCTGCGGATTGTAGCCCAACACATAACCACTGTACCACAGAGAACTCAGGGCGTGCATCTCACTGAGCAGGGGTGGGGAATGGATGGGGACAGCAAGCCTCTGGACCTGCACAGAGACTCTGTCTGCTGCCTGGCTCTCAGCAGTACGTACAATGCCCAGCACCCGGGCATCCTGGCAAAAGCTCTGTCCTTCAAACTGTGGGTCCCAGCCCTTCCTTTACCTCCCTCGCACTGGTGCAGGCCCTGAGCTTTCCTCACTGCCCCCTCCCCCGGCCAGCTACTTGGGGAGAACCCAGGCGATTCTGCCTCCAGTTAACAAGGCAGTGGGCAGAGTCTGGGGGACTTCTGTGGGTGTCACTAGTGCTGTAGAGCTACTGGCAACCAGGGGTGCGGTTCGGCACCCACGAAGCACAGAACTACGCCCCCCACCCCATGGTGGCGGCGGGGAGAGTGGGTGGGACCAGACCAGTGCCTCTCTTGATTAATTGACAGGCGTTGTCAACCATGGGACCCTCCAGCCCCTGGGATGTCCCGCCTCCCACTCTGTGGATGTCCACGTAGGCAGCACCCTGGGACGGCAGGTGGTTGGTGGGATTGGGACGGAGGGTGGGGTGTCAGTGGAAGCCTCTACTCCAGGGTCCTCACCTGGAGCGACTAGGAAACACTGGGTGATGCAGCAGACGGGTGTGGGGTGTGGTGGTGGGGACGGCCCGTGGCCGCGGCACTCACCACTCGTCCTCCTCGGGGACGCTGCTGAGGGGTGGACGCAGGCAGTACATGTGGAAGGCCATGTCGCACTCATCACACATGAGCTGTTTCCCGGGGTCCTGCTTGCCCCCGCACAGGTGGCAGGCGCAGATGCGGCAGGGCCTGTTGTCATCGTCCTTACAGTGCTTGCAGGAGGGGCCGCTCTTCCCTGAGCAAGGGGGGTGGGGGTGGGTCCTGCGTCAGCTGGGGGGTCCGACTCCCACGCCACCCCACCTCACCGCACCCCACGAGGGCCAGCACGCACGCGGCAAGGGGTTCTCCACCACTGGGGTGCTCTCGCCCGGGCGCTCGATCTTGTAGATTTCATTCACAAAGATGATGCGGCAGTCGTCGATGGAGTGGTCCCTGGGGAGGGGGAGGGAAGCCATCAGCACATTCCAGAAGCCCTCCTCACTGGGGCGTTCTCAGCAGGCTCTGCCACCATGCCGGCCTACTTCTCAGGTGCCAGCTGGCGTCAGCAGGGTCCGTGACCCCACGTGGGTTCAGAGCCAGCCGGCAGAGCTGCAGACAGGCCTGGCAACCTGCTTCCCAGCTTCTACCCCGAGAACCCCCGTGGTGGCAGCACCGTCCTGCCACGGGTCAGGGTCAGCCTGCTTGCTTATTGATTGATTGATCTGTTCAAGTTACATCACAGAAGAGGCTCTACAAAGGGAGAGGACACAGCAGGGGAGGGCGTGGTGTTCAAGCCCCCTCGCCTGCCTGGGTTCCGGCTCCTCAGCAACTGGTTTTGGGGAAAGCAGGTCTTCTGAGGCTCTGAGTGGAGTAGAAACTAAGGTCTTACACACTCAGACCACCAGGGATGCACTCACAGTGCACACCCATCGTCATGACTTGGCAGAGGACTTGGCGACACACGTCCCACTTCCTGCCGTGGCCTGTGGCACTCCTCCCACCTTCCACCCAGATTCAGCAGCCAGCCACTCAGCCACAGCTCCATCTTTCGGCCCTGTCCCTGGAGGCTGGCGTGTCGCTGGGACCAGGTTTCCGTGGGGGATTCAGGTTCAGATGGAGCAGGAGGTGAGGTCATTGAAGCCCGACAACCAGCTTTGGGGGACACTGCCCCAAAGAAACCAGCAGCACTCCCTGGCTAACCCGTCAGAAGAAGGGATGAGAAGATGCCGGTAATGGGATGCCCAAGAAATCCGCCCTCCTGTGGTGGCTTGCACGTGCCTGTGATGCTGGGAGCCAGGCCGCTGGAATGGCAAAGAGCAGCAGGTGTCGCCCAAGGTGGACAGCCAGGCCTCAGCGGAGCTCGCACGAAGAACTCTCTAGAAGGATGAAACCGGCGACCTGCTTTGGAAGGATTGCCACTTGTAAGTCACAGGGGGGCACTGCCTGCTACCGTGCCGGAAGAGGAGTCCGTCAGGTCCGGTGGCACTCAGAATAGGGCTCGGGGAAGAGCCGCCTCCTTAAAGGATGGGGCAGAGCCTTTGGGACCCGTGTTCCCCAATGGGGTGCGAGGCAGAGAGAGAAACAGCAGCCAACGCCCACCAATCGGACTTCATTCCATGCACTGACAAGTCCAGTGGGACACGAAGACCAGGGGCCCAGCCGGTCCTGGGGCATCCATGCTGGGAATGACCGTCAAGAGACCTGTGTTCACATTCGTCGTGAAGAGAACGTTTCAAGATTGACCTTGAAGTACAGTGGCTGCCAGGGATAGGATGGTATCTCTACGACACCGACAGGGAAGTCTAGTGAGCGCCGTCACTGGAGGAAGTGAAGAGGCTGAATTCTCCCCACTCGATCAGACGTGTGACCAGTGCGTTTACGACGACTGGTGAACGGGACGCGTGTGGAGCCGAAGGGGAAAAAGCCGCTCGTTGCCAGCAGTTGGAAAACCAGGTTTTGGTGAAAGAAACGAAGCTGTTGACCGCATGAGCCAATCCTGCTCGAGACCAGCAACGTCCTCACGCAGAGAGCTCTCTCCAACAACGTACGCAGTCACGCTGGAAGCCGCCTCCCCACATGGGCTGCACAGCAATCCGAGGGGCTGCACGGTGATGACGGTCCAGAAGCTCAATAGTTGAACACAACTTCAAGAGATGACGGTCCAGAAGCTCAATCCCGCCAGCCGGGGTGACTGGAAGAGACCCTGTGCTGCTCAGATGGCAGGTAGTCCACAAAACGAGAGCGGGACCTGGAGTGTATTCCAGGTGAATCAGAGACCGTCAACTTGGCAACGGCTGAGAGGGCAGTGTGGCGGCTCTTGGTCTTGCTGTATGTCCAGTGCTGTGAGTCAAAACAACCGGGTGATGAGCGCTTTCTCTGTCGACTTTCTGTTAGGCCAAAGAACGGCGGTTGCGGCTGCTTATGCGAGTGCTGGGAGAAACGGTAACCAGAGCTGGAGCAGCCGAGTGCCCAGGAAAGCTAGTCTGGAGGAAGGCCTTCCCCACCACCCCCCTCACTCCATCCAGCCTCTCACCAAGCAAGGCCACCGTAGTGGGCTCCGAGGGGAACCTCACCTTCCTGGTCTAGCTCTCAGGCTGGGTTTTATTCTTGGGCTTCAGAAAATCCAAGATGTCCATTTTTCTCCCCCCGTAATATACGCTAGATTACAGGGGCCCTCAAACATTTTAAACGGGGCCAGTTCACTGTCCCTCAGACCCGTTGGAGGGCCAGGCTATAGTTAAAAAAACAAAAAACAAAAAAACTATGAACAAATTCCTGTGCACGCTGCACATATCTTATTTTGAAGTAAAAAAAACAGGGCAAAAACACCCGGCAGGCCGCATGTGGCCCGCGGGCCACAGTTGGAGGACGCCTGCTCGGCTAGAACAACAGGGACATGACTGGAGTCCCGGGCCCTCAGCGCCTCCACACCACCACACCAAACTGAATCATGGCCCTGTGGTGCAGGGGAGAGCTGCCCCTGTGGTTTTCCCGAGAACGGACTCTTAGCAGCCCGATATGGAAAGATGAGGCTTTCTATCCCGGAAGGAATTACTGTCAAAGATCTTTATGCTCCAGGGAGATAATCGTTAAGGCTCTACCATTAATTAACAAGGAGGTCTCTAAAGGGAGCCAAAAGCACATTTTTAAAAAAAGACAAAGCTCGGGGAATGGCTTTGGGGTTTGCACTTAATCCTAGCTCCAATTTAAGAACAATCAGTTCTTACATCATGGCCTTGCTCCACACTCACCCTCAGGAGGGGAACACAGAAGGAATGGGTGCCACAGCCAAGTGTGGAGACAGAATCACATGGTGCCCAGCTATCGGATAAACTAATGTCTGGAGTCTCAAAGGCATGTTTCCAAACAAGCAGCCATATGAGGTGTCAATTAAGTCCACATGGAACAAGCACTCCAACATCTGTGCCGAGGATTGACAATCATCATCTGAGTCACAGGACCAGGGTGTACACTGTGGGGTCTGTATAAGGGAAACCAGCCTCCTTACACAACGGAGGGATGGATGAACTGGTTACAAAGCAGAGTACCATGGAGAGAGGACCACAGAGTAAAATGATAAACCTGCCTGTACAGTTAAAACCTTGTTAGTTAATTTCCCCACCCACACACACCCAACAAAACACATGCTGGGCGTGATCTGGTTCCCAGCGTGTCTGGGGGCGTGTTTTGTTAGGGTGTCGTTCTGATATATTTTGTCATCGGGGCCAGCCCTCTGGAGTTCTCATTACGTTATTTTACTTTTTTGGTACATGAAATCCAGAATTGATGAGCCTGTAGAGACCGACCACTAGAATAAGGGTCCCTGAGAGGGTGCAGTGGGGGAGGGTGGACGGCGGGTAAAGGGGAGATGATGACAAGGAGGAGTTCAAGAAGAGGGTGTTTGAAACTGATAGTGATAGTTGTACCATACTGCTCCACGTGATTGATCTATGAAACATCTGCATTAGTTCCCAGTAAAAAGCTTTTGGGGGAAAACAGTTGTAAAACAAGTTATCGTCAGCTCTTTAGGAGGGGCTACATGGCCGGTGCCCTCACTCCCCACAGGGACTTGACCTTGAAGGAGCATGTTGAGAAGTCAAGCTCCCTCCTATGCGTCTACGGACATAGGTGAGCATATTTACATAGAGAGTGTGACAAAGCAAAGCTATCCCTCCGACCCT